AAGCTTGCCAAGACAAATTTGTCCAGCTATTTAAGTTGGTGTGATAAAAGATATCAGATTTGCTCAAAGCACCTTGTCATCCTGTATAACAAGAATTCCATTGCAGGAAAACATGATTGGTCCACAAAGCTTGCTTTGCTTCAGTTACCCAGTTATTTCTCAGTCATAAGTAATTTCAGTTTCTATTAGCAATTCCATTTCTAGATTCCTTTGAATGATTTTAAAATAGCGCTCTCTCCCATTATATTGCAAAGTCCTGTGATTCTGAAGAGTCCAAATAATAGCCCTAGTTACAGAGTTTCAGATCAGAAGAGTATCTTTAGTCTTTCCTCCTGTATATTACAGGTCTTACATCTCACCTAGCTTTCCCTCTATTAAGAACATCTTTTGGTATATGAGGTTATCCAAGAATGGGTATACTTGCCATGTACAAGAACAAATATTAGATGTTTTGCTTCTAGGTTTAATGTCAAGCACCTTCATCCTCTTGGCATTTAAGCTCATCTATTCCACTGACATTGAGAGGTCTGAGGAAATGGTTACAGGGTACAGCAGCTTGACATGATAAGGCAGAAAGAAGGCTGAATTTTATACCCAGATTCAGTGTCAGAGCACCTCACAGCCTGGATGCTGGCTGCCTACTGTCTATAGACAGATCGGACTTCATGGATGTATCATACTTTTTTTTGGTACCAAGTTGATTCCACTACACCTAGAACTTTGGGTGAGGTTTTCCATGTAGACAACACCTACTCCCAACAGCCGTACTATCAGCTGTACTATCACTAGATACCCAGGGAATGGAAAGAGGCCAGTGGACACTGCTGTTCAAAAAGAATCTGAACCCATGTGATTAGGACACACACAACAAAAGTGGAAATTAGGTGGAGAGCCCATCTGAAGACCCATGCTTATTGGCAAAGACCATTCTCTGTTGTTAACATGGTTCTAAACAAAGCATCTTATTCAGAAACCACCACCTAAAATAAAAGTGATAGCCAAAGTAATGTAAAAAAAAAAGTGACCAAGGCCAGAACAATGCTCAGATGGCAGAGTGATTAAATCTTTATAAAAGTTTAAATAGCACTCTTAAACTCAAGATGGTCTGAAAAATATTACATAATGTGTTCATGTTTCTCTAATTCTTCATTCAAAAGATTGTTTAAATGCTTTTGAGCATTAATCTCAGGATATATCGTGGCAGTAGCATATTCTGAATTACCTAATCTGATGGACCAGCTGGGATGTCAGGTTTGTGACACCTGCACACTGTTGGATTGGCTAATGTGGGTCAGGAGAACCCTATTTAATCCTACTTGCAACAGTTGATTTTAGGCTGGTAAACACTGAAGCCTACAGCTGTTCCTCCAGCCCCTGACTTCAGTTCTCTGACTGGCCTTGCCAGGCTTTCTATTACAGTTGTTAGCCCTAACCCCTGGACTTGATTGCCCATACCCCAGTCTCATTACAGTATTACACTTAAATTATTTGGGACTCTCCATCAATTGCATAAGAGTCTGCTAGCTAAATATTTCTATTAAGCCTCTTCCTATCAAAAGTCACAGTCTTTTCAGGCCTAAGAGTAGCTAGATTCCTTAAGAGTTTAATTGTCTTTCCTCCCAATTAGAAAAATTCTACCTTCCTAGCACTTCCACATTGTGGTTTTGGGATTAATGGATCTGCCTTTTGAATCCATGGAAGAGTGTTTTTCTATTACCTGGGTATGGAGACTGCTTTCCTAATGCTTTTCACTTCATCCCAAAGAATAGGAGATATTAAAGCCCACACAGCAGGATGGTTTTATATATTATTCCAATGTATCTTCCAACTATATGGTGTGTATATATAGCATATTCCAAATATATACTGTTCCAACACTACTGACTCACTCCAAATTCCTTCCTAATGTTGCCTACGGCAACAAAAGGATGAAGTCACATATCTGGCAAAATTCTTTCCTAGGGTACTTTGCCTTTCCTTTTACTCCAGGGAAAAACATTTCTGTAATTCTCCTAACCTGTTCTTGGCCTTTGCTGAAAGGATGAATGCTCAGCCAAGATCCTTTCAGACTATTGGTTTTTAGTACAGTCTACACTACAAAGTTTTGCTGGCATAATTACCTTGGCTAGGATAGAAATCATAGAAAAATTAAGGTTGAAAGATACTTCAGGAGGTCACATCTAATCCAACCCATGATCAAAGCAGGACCATCCCCAACTAGATGATCCCAGCCAGGGCTTTGTCCTTAAAACCCCCCAAAGATGGAGACCCTACCACCTCTCTAAGTAACCTGTTCCAGTGCTTCACCATCTTCCTAATGAGAACGTTTTTCCTAATATTCAACTTAAACATCCCTTGCTGCAACTTGAGACTGTTGCTCCTTGTTCTGTCATCTGCCACCACTAAGAACAGTCCAGCTCCATCCTCTTTCGAACCCCCTTCAGGTAGTTGAAGGCTGCTATTAACTCCCCTCTCAGCCTTCTCTTCTGCAGACTAATTATTTCCCTTGATCTGCTGCCAGTGCTCCTACTAATGCAGCCCAGTGTGCTGTAGCCTTCTTGACAGCAAGGGCACAGTGTTGGCTCATATTCAGCTTATTGTCCATTGTGACCCTCAGGTCCTTTTCTGCAGAGCTGCTGCTTAAGCAGTCAGTCCCCAGGCTGTACTGGTTCATAAGAGTGTTCTGTCCGAAGTGCAGGACTTTGCACTTGTCCTTGTTGAACCTCATGAGATTTCTTTTGGCCCAGTCCTCTAATTTGTCAAGGTCACTCTGAATCATAGCCCTACCCTCTAATGTATCTACTACTCCCTCCAGCTTGGTGTCATCAGTGAACTTGCTGAAGGTGCCCTTTATGCCATCTTGTAAATCGTTAATGAAGATAGTGAACAAAACTGGCCTTGGGACCAACCCCTGGGGCACTCCACTTGACACTGACTGCCAGCTAGACATTGATCCACTGATTACTACTCATTGAGCCTGGCAATCCAGCCAGCTTTCTATCCACCTTACTGTCCATTCATCCACTCCATACTTCCTCAGTTTTCTTGTAAGAATGCTGTGGAAGAAGGTATCAGAAACCTTGCTAACGTCAAGGTATATTACATCGGCTGCTTTCCCCACATCCACAGAGCCAGTCAGCTCATCATAGAAGGCACTCAAGTTGGTCAGGCATGACTTGCCCCTGGTGAATCCATGTTGACTGTTCCTGATCACCTTCTTCCCCTCCCAGTGCTTAGAAATTGAGGATTTGAGGATCTGCTCCGTGATTTTTTTGGGGACTGAGGTGAGGCTGATTGGTCTGTAGTTCCCTGGGTCCTCCTTCTTCCCTTTCTTAAAGATGGGTTATATATTTGCCCTTTTCCAAATGCCACAAGTTTTCAAAGATGTTATCTAGTAGCTCTGCAGTCACACCAGCCAACTCCCTCCTGCATCCGGCCCCATAGACTTGTATATGTCCAGCTTTTCTAAATAATCCCTAACCTGTTCTTTCACTACTGAGGACTCCTCAACTTCTCCCCAAACTGTGCTGCCCGGTGCAGTAGTCTGGGAGCTGACCTTGCCTGTGAAGAGTGAGGTGAAAAAGGCATCAAGTACTTCAGCCTTTTCCTCATCTGTCACTAGGTTGCCTCCCCCATTCAGTAAGGGAGTCACACTTTCTGTGATCTTCCTCTTGTTGCTAACATACTCATAGAAACCCTTCTTGATACCCTTCACGTGCCTTGCTAGCTGCAACTCCAATTGCACTTTGACCTTCCTGACTTCATCCCTGCGTGCCCAAACAATATTTTTATCTTCCTCTCAAGTTATATGTCTGAGCTTCCACTTCTGGTGAGCTTCCTTTTTGTGTTTAAGCTCACTGAAGAGTTCTTGCACATCAGGATGGTTCATTCCTGCACCCTCAGTAAGGTTTCTTTAAAATACAGCCAGCTCTCCTGGACTCCTTTCCCCCTCAGACCAGCTTGCCACAGGATCCTTTTCATAACATCATTGGCCCATGTGGTGGTGTTGACAAAACACCTGATGCATTTGCAGCTATTCTGACAGATGAGAGCGTCTGTTGTCTTAGCATCTGTCATTCTGAACATGGGGCAACTAAGCTGGTAGAAACTTCCATTCTGGTGACATTTGTCCCATCTTCATTGCAGTGCTCTGCTGATGTAGCTCTGCCAGCATAACTATAGTGGCAGCAGCTCTGTAACATGGATAAGTCTTCGGCCTCTATTGGAACTTGTTTTGAGAGACCTTATTTGTCCTTAACCTTCACAGTTCAGGATGCATTGTGCTAGAGCTCAGGCTGCATCTCCAGCTTCCCTAAGGAGCGTTCCTGTCTCACAGGTGGTTAGAACAGCTGGACTTTAGGTCACCTCTTTACCCAGCACTATTTCTTAGTGGAGGGCTCCATTTCCTACCCCTGGTTTGGCAGAGGTGTCTTAAGGTAGAAAGAAAATGTCACCTGATGTCTCATTTGTGCCACCATAAAATTATGATTGATGGTGCAGGACAAAGGGCGATGTGTTCCAACCCATGAAGCAGATCAGCTGTACTATCATAAGA